CCCACTGGGGATACTTTGGTAACCTTAAGGGCAAAAGCAAAGGAAAAGGAAAGGAGAAAGGAAAGAACTTTGGTTCAAGCGCCTCGGCCTCGGCTAAGGGAAGCAGTAGTAGTGGGACAGCTTTGTGCTGGACGTGTGGTAAGACAGGCCACTTTTCGAACAAGTGTCCTTGGAACAGAGTGAGTGCTTTAGAAGAAGGAGAGCAAGAGCAGCAGCAGCAGGAAGAGGACTGGTCTTACTTTGGTGAGGCTGGTTGGGAAGAGTGGACAGTTGGAGCGCTTTATGACGACTGGTCATGGAGTGACGGTTGGGAAAACTTTGACGACAGCTGGGACTGGTATTCGTACCAGGACTTTGGCTGGAACGAGTGGCCAGCAGAGCCACAACAGCAGCAGCAGCCCGCAAGCACTTTGCCTGTGCAGAACCCTGCGCCGCAGCAAGAACAGAGCTCTACTTTGCCTAAGGCAGCAGTTTCTGCTGTCACTGTAAGTGAGCCTCCGGGACTTTCAGCCCCAACAAGGCCAAAGGCAAAGAGCACTGTTAGTCCTGGTGCTTTGTTGATGTCGGCTGTTGTCATGAGCAACTTTGCGCTTGGAAGCACTTTTCGTTGTGATGACATGATGCGTGGAGTTGTTGACTTTGACTTTAGTGGTGAGCAGTTTGCGTGCTCAGCCCCTTCCGCCTTGCTAGCGCCTTTGGAGACTTTTTCGCTGAACAACAGCGACGCAAAGAGGCACAAGCTTTTCCAGGCCTCAGATCTGGATATTCCGCTTTCAGAGACACTTTTCTTGAGGAACACTTAGTTGCCTCAGCCGTGCAGGAGGACGCTCCTTGGATTCTTTTCGACTCAGGAGCAGCAGCTCACTGCTGTCCTTTGGACTTTGCTTCGGATTGGCCACTTTTACCTTTGACAGGTAAAGCACCGCCTTTGAGATCCATTTCTGGTCAAGCTTTGACAGTTTATGGTAGGCGTTTGGTCAAGGTTGAGTTCAATGGGCAACCTTGTTTTCTGCACTTTTATGTTTGTGATGTTCCTTACTGCGTAGTTTCTGTTGGTAGACTTTTGAGACAAGGCTATCAGGTGAACCTCTCCTTGGATGAACATACTTTGAGCACACCAGATGGTAGGAAGGTTCCTGTAGTCAGACATGGTTCTTTGTTGTTCCTTTGTCCTTCACTAACAGCTTTTGATCCCTTGAAATTTGAGAGCATTTGCAATTCCTTTCATGAAGCCAATTCCAAAGGATTACTTGTTGCGCCCACCTTTCAGACTCCCTATCATCATGATCGCTGGGAGCTTTCTGGCAACGCCCTCAAGAGGATTCATAAGAGATCCCGCGCTACTTTCTTTTCCCCGGACGGGACTAAAGACAGGCCCGTAGAGTTGGATGATCTTGCTAATGACCGAGTTACTTTTCTGCAGTACGAAGATGGTACTACGCCAACTTTGACGGACAATTGGCGTACAGTGGAGAACCCTAAGGGTAATGCTCCTAAACGCTTTGTAGGTTACACGCTTTTTCAGTTGAAGGCTCCAGTTCCTGCCAACCGAGTTTCTACTGGTAAACAGTCCACTTTTCCAGCGTCCAAACCACAAGCTTTGCAGCAACCTTCGGAGCCTCAACCCTCACCCAAACCTTTGCCGCCCAGGAGTGTTGAGGACAGCTTTGCTTTGAGACTTTCACAGGCCTCAGCAGGAACTTTAGAAGCCTTCAAGGTAACTTTGCTTGAGCAGCTCAACGAGCAAGACCCCGCAACTGGACAGCCTTACACGCGCGATGTTTGGTTGAACTTTCCGACCGTTTGGGTTCGTATGCACTATGAGCTTCGTAGTAACCTTTTTTGTTCCTAACGATCCTGACTTTGAGCAACAGTTAGGAGATGGTCGCATGAACATTGTGCGTCCTGATATGGATCAAGAAGTACTTTGGCATTGTGATAATTGGAGGCAGATAGGTGTAGGAGAAGGCCTTGAAGCTTTCATAGGTGCAACCTGCTTTGAAAAGGCAGAACTTGAAGTAGTGCAAGCTGAGCCTGAAGGTGACGACTTTGTAGCTCAACGTCCTAAAGGCCTTAAGCAGCCAGGAGAGCCTACTTTAACTGAGCGGCTAGAGCACGAGTTAACTCACCTTCCTTTTAGGCCATGGTGTGAAGTTTGTTTGAAAGCTAAAAGCAAACAGGCTAAGAGCAAGACGCTTTCCCTCAGGCAACCTGTGTTGCAAATGGACTTTAGCTTTCTTTCAGATAAGCCGGGCGAAGACCAAATCACTATTTTGAATGTTGTGGATGTTCTCAGCAACATGGCACTTTCAGTAGTGATACCTACGAAGGCCCGCACACCGTACTCTAATGCCGAGCTAAGACGCTTTGTGCTAGAGACCGGCCGTACTTTTGGAACCCTACAGTGTGACCCAGAACCAGCTTTGAAGGCCATAGCTGAAGCGGTCACGGGTGAAGTAGGAGGACTTTCCCTGCGTAAGACCCCTGAAGGATGGAAACAAGCCCAAGGTAGTGTAGGAAATATGCAGGCTACTTTGTACGGTCAGATCAAGGCTTTGCGTCTTGAGCTCTTGAACCGATACAATGTTGAGTTGTCCGTGCATTCTGCACTTTTCACTTGGCTTGTTCGGCATTCGCAGTGGCTTGTCAACCGTTACTTGCAGAACTCAGAAGGCAAGACAGCTTTTGAGAGACGTTGGGGTAAGCGGTACAACGGCTTTTTGTGTCGCTTTGGAGAAACCGTGCTTTTCAGACGCCCTCAGCACAAGGGCAAGGTTTCATGGTTTTCTGGCATTTGGCTAGGTAAAGACACGGAGTCAGATCAGCACTTTGTTGCTGACGCTTCTGGTGTCTTTAAAACACGCAGTGTTAAGCGTTTGCCACCTTCGAAGCAGGCAGACCTGGCACTTTTGCAGGCCATTAAAGCCAGACCTTGGGACCCACAAGGCTCTAAAGTTGAGACGGACGCCTTCATCTTTCCAGCTTCGCCGTCCGAGGAGGCGAGCGGTGAGAAGGCCACTTTCGAGCCTGGTGTTCCTTTAGACCCCCAAGCAGTTGAAGAAGTTGTTGAGCTTGAGCAACTTTTGGGCCAAGACATGCCAGTTGAAGATGATGACAGCATGTACTTTCCATCCGAGGATGAACAGGAAGCCCCTCAAACCACTTCCGCACAAGCAAGGTCAAGCGCTGACGCTGCTTTTCCTGAGCCACCCACTGTGCGACCAAGACTTGAGGAGGCCTCTCCGACAAAGCGCACCTCGGAAACTTTGAACGTGGGAAGCTCTAAGGTTCAGCGCATTGCTTGCGTAACTTTGAACAAGAAAAAGAAGAAGAGGAAACTTAGAGCCCACGACTTGCGAGTTGCAGCTGTCACCACGAAGCAAGACCTCGAAGTGCCTGTAGCGGTGAATCAGGATGAGAGAGAACTTTCTCTTTCTAAGACTCTGGAAGACCCGCAACTTTGGTACGAAACAGAGTTTCCGTACGAAGAAGAAGTTGCAGGCATGAAGAAAGAGGTCAAGAGCACGCAGGACTTTCAGGTGTTTGACGAAATCGCCGTCGAGCAAGTCCCAGATGAACTTTCGCAACAGGGGATTTCAACTAAATGGGTCAAGACTCGCAAGGGCGATGGGACTGTGCGTTGCCGACTTGTTGCTCGAGGCTACACTCAGCAGGTTGATGACAAAGACGAGATCTTTGCGTCCACACCGTCGCTGACGAACTTGAAGCTTCTGCTTGTGTTGGCAATGGCCTTTAACTGGCACATTGCGGTTGGTGATGTTTCCACAGCTTTCTTACATGCCTCTGTGGACTCTGACATCTTTGTCATTCCACCGCTTGAGTTTTACCCTCAAGGAGGCGTCTTGTGGAAGTTGCGCAAGGCACTTTACGGGCTCAGGAATAGCCCAAAATTGTGGCAGACTCACTTTGCCTCCGTCATGGCCAAGAACGGCTTTAAACGCATGAAGTCAGACCCAAACCTTTATGTTCACGAGTCTAAACGGCTTTACGTGTTGGCGTACGTTGATGATCTCATGTTCTTTGGACAAAAGCATGAAGTTGACTCCATGGTGCAAGACTTGCAGCGTGACTTGCTTTTGAAGTTGACGGGCACTCTCTCCGAAGATGAGAACGTCACTTTCCTCGGAAGAGAAATCCGAAGAACCTCTGAGGCCATTGAGCTTTACATGAAATCGGAGTACATTGATCGCATGCTTGAGCTTTATGACATGAAAAGTTGTAAGCCGAACGCCGCTCCGGGTGCAGACACTTTGCGTAAGAAGCTCGATGTTGAACCGTTGAGCAATGAAGCGCACAAGCTGTACCGCCGAGCCGTCGGACAACTTTTGTGGCTTGCGAATGTACGTCCTGAAATCATGTTTGCCGTGAAGGAACTTTCTCGTGGACTTTCGGCCCCCACGACCGAGCATGAAGCCAAGGTGAAGCACCTTTTCAAGTTTCTTTCCGGAACAAAAGACTACAAGCAGCGCCTGCAGCCCACACTTTCGCTTTCGCCGCAGCACAAGGCTTTAGATGTCAACATCTTTGTTGACTCGGATTGGGCCGGGTGTCACGACACCCGTCGTTCCACGTCAGGCGTTTCGCTTTTTGTTCTCGGAGCAAACATACTTTCCCACAGCAGAACCCAAGCCACCGTTGCGCTTTCCTCCGGGGAAGCCGAACTTTACGCAATAGGATCTGGAGTTGCAGACGGACTTTTTGTGAGATCTCTTGTTGAGGAGTCTCAGCTTTTTCAAAAGACCAACCTTTTTGTTTTTACCGACTCAAACGTTGGTAACAGTATCGTTTCTCGTTTTGGCGCGTCTCGTAAAACGAAACACGTTGAACTTCGTTTTCTTTACGTTCAGGAACTTGTTGCGTCAGGCATGATTCGTGTCCGAAAGGTTTTAGGAACTTTGAACCCCGCAGACATCCTCACGAAATATGTTCCGAAGGAAACTCTTTTTCGTCATTTGCCTACTTTTGGTTTTAGTTGTTGATGTTGTTGGTGCTGATGGTTTAGGATCCTTTGTGACTTTTTGAGAGAAGAGAGAAACACGTACTTTGTGAGCGCATGTCTTCTTTTGTGAAGCAGTCATGTCGGACATGTTCACTTTGCAGTTGCGGACATGTACTTTTGCAGACATGTTGTGCAGTCATGTCAGTCATGTACTTTACAGACATGTCTTCTGAGTTAGGTTTAGGGACTGTAGTTTATTTTCTTTAGGATCTGGTATCTTTTAACTTTCCAGCCTAAGCTCTAAGAGCTCTGGGCTACTTTTCGAATTCGGAGACCCAGTCTACTTTGAAGCAATCTTTTTTTGGGACTTCCCGCTGACACTCTCAAAATCAAACTTTTGCCCTGTTATGCGACTTTGCCGTACGGATGGAACCGCAGATGGCCGCAACCGCTGACTTTTTGCGAGACCTCTTGGACTTTCGGACTTTGGTTCCGCTGGCTTTTAGGCTTCAGGACGACCTGAAGGTCGCCACAGCCCACTTTGGATACCTCATCCGGTGGAAGAACTTTCTTCCAAACTTTGCAAGGTCCAAACTTTAAGATGAAAGGAAGTGGCAAGGGCATCGTGCCGCCAAACTTTTCGTGCTTCAACTTTTGGGCCACTTTGCAATACATGCTGGAAGCGCTTTTCGCTGGACGTCAGACTGAGCAACTTTTGCTCCCTGGCATTCCTGTGCGACAGGAACTTTCAAGTGGGTATCTGCTTGAGCGACTTTATCCAGCTAGCTTTGGAATGGTTGATCCATCGTATAGCCCTCCGGAACTTTTCCTCATCCGGAGAACAACTTTGCATTGGGTAACTGAAATGGGCCCAAACTTTGTCCTTCCTGGAGACCCTACTTTGCGGTGCCCTTTTATGCTGTATATTACTTTGCCAAGCAGTGTGGTGAATAGGACTTTGCAGCGAGCTTTTCAAACTGGAAGCTTCACTTTGGATCACAGTGAAGTGCCTGATGCATGAACCTTTCTTTCGGCCCCAGATCGGCACTTTTGTTCGCTAGCTTTCAGCTATCGATTGCTGAAATCCAGACTGGACAGAGGCGGAACTTTGAAGCCAATGAGAACTTCCTGACAGTTGGCTTCAGGTTGTTGCAGTCAACTTTTGCAACTTTGTTTCTGGACAGAAATGCGACCACTTGGAATCGCCGCCATATTGACTTTTTGCTTCGGTGCAACTATTTGCAGGTACCATGGAATCCTCATGGCTTTACTTTCATGGTGCTGGATCACCACTGCAATCCACACTTTTTTGTGTGATGAGCTTAATCGCTACTTTGAAGTCCCGGGAGTTCCGCACTTTAGGATGATGCATGTGCCTACACTTTGGAGTAGGCATGAGGAACTTCAACACTTTCCTGAAGAAGGTATTGTGCCTCTGGGACACTTTTTGCCGCCTCCGGCACAGCGAAGCAGACTTTGATCTTTGACAGCCAACTTTTCTGCACGACTTTCAACGTGAGTACTTCGCATTTTTTTGCAACTTTTGCCTTGAGTACTTTTCATGTAGCATTGGATGCTGCATTCTGGAATCACTGCACTTTGATGGGCTGATTCCCCAATACGCGCTTTACAGACTTTTGCTTTGAGCCGCTTTGCAGTTTCACAAGTACAGTTACTTTTGCATGAAAGCACCACGTAGTGGCAAAACTTTGATTTGG